AATTGTTTGTGTCTTTAAAATATCTGTGGTAGATATTGTGGTACAGCAGGTAAGACTGCCCCTTGGAATGTTTGTATCTCATACCAGAGTGCCTGGGATTGGGTCCCACCTCTGTTTGTCATACAGCTTCTTGCTATGTACAGGCAAGGCAGCAGAAGACGGCCCAAATACTTAGAATCCTGCCTCCTGGCTTAAACCTGGCCCAGCTCTGGCTGTTGCTGGCATTTCAGGAGTAAATCAGCAAATGGAAGATCTCTCTCTTAACTCTCCACACCTCCCACTCTCCCTCTTTGTCTCTGTCTCTCTGCCTTTCAAATAAACAAATTTAAAATCCTGAGAAGAGCTACTTAGTAAGGAAAAAAAGATTTGACTGACAGTTTGGGAATTTCATAATTCAAATTCAGATGATGCATTGGTTTAGGTACCTGATGTGGCAGGACAATGGTGGAGGGACATAGTGATCCAGGAAGCACACAGGGAAAACATACTTGTTTTGTCATGTTGTCATGATCCAATCATGGAGTTCCGCCATGGCAAACTAATCAGATCCAGTCACTTCCCAAAGGCCCCACCTCTAGACACCATAATTGGATCAGATACTCTCAGTAAGCCTCTGTTGTTAATGTCACAATTTGGTACAGGTTTGGAAGAGGAAGAAGAATATACTCTGCTCAAATCAACTTCTTAGCAGCATAAGTTCCATCTCTTTGATGACTACCATCTTCCAGGTAGAGTCTGTAAGAAAAAGGGGAAAGAATAGAGAGGAGACAAAACACAAACTTGTACCCAGACCGAATTTATTCAAAGAAAATCAATCCACAGAGGTTGTTGTCCAACTGCCAGCATGCACACAGACTGGACATGTGGCAGAGTGCGCAGACTCCAGCAAGCTGGGCCTTTTTATATCTTAGGTGGGCTAGGGGTGGGGGTTGGGAACAGTAGGTGGAGGTGAGCTTCTCCATACTGATTCTTCAAGTTTGGCCCATTGGCTTCCAAACCTGGGAAAGAATGGAGGGAGTGGGATGGGGAACAATATAGGTGTGAGACTGAACTGGTCTCTTGAAAGAAGGAAGAGGTAACAAGAACCTAAAATGACTGAGGCTTATGTCCTTATCCCATCAGAGTCATCTCCTGAATCTTCTGCAGTTGATCAGTTTCTGAGGGAGAAATGAAATTATGAAGAAGGTAGAGAAGGAAGTTCACTCATAATTTCTTTGACCCAAAGGTGATACATATCACTCCCATCTACATCCCATTCAGAAATAATCACATGGTCTCATCTAAATATACAGGAGGTGGAATTGTAGGTTCACAGTGTACTAAGAAATTGGTACTTGCCATCAGGTAAAAACCTATACTGAGCTGTTGACCCAAGTACCTACACACAGCCTTTGATTTGGCCTAAACTTTTTCAAAATTGAGTCATCTTAGAGAGTTACATGACAGCTTATAATAATGAGTGTCCCAATGGATGTGTAAAATCTATGTGGTCTTTTACTACCTAGCTTCAGTCACTTATGTTGTACTCTACTGACCTAAGAATTCACAAGCCCAGGGCTGTCATTGTGGCACCTCAGGTTAAACCACCACCTTTGATGCTGGCATCCCAAATGACTACCAATTCACATCCTAGCTACTACATTTCTGATCCAGCTCCCTGCTAAAGTGCCCAAGAAGGAAGCAGAAGATGGTCTAAGTATTTGGGCCCCTTCCACCCATGTGGGAGATCTCTGGAGTTCCAGGTTCCTGGCTTTGGTGTGGCCCAGTTCCAGACATTACACCCATTTGAGTAATAAGCCAACATACAGAAGATCCCTCTCCCTCTCCCCCTCCCTCTCTCCCTCCCTCTACCTCTTACCTTCCCAGGGTGAAGTTCCTGGCTCCTGGCTTCAGATCAGCACAGCTCCAGCTGTTGCTGCCATTTGGGGAGTGAACCAGCAGAGGGAAGACCTTTCTCTCTGTCTCTCCCTCTCACTGTCTATAACTCTAACTCTCAAATAAATAATTAAAATCTTAAAAAAAAAAAGAACTTCCCACTAGACTTACCTCCTAAACACCATAATGTGATTAAATTTCCATCCCCTTAGTACTGTCAACTTATGACTCTGGAATTTAATCATCTGGATGAATTCAGAGCAAATCCTTTTCAAACCATAGCAGGTACCAAGGTCATATGGTAAAGGAACATGTACAGTGAAAGGTGGTGCCCAATTTTGGAAAATACAACTTTCTACATATGTTATCTTAGAACCATTAATTTCTAATTTCAACATTTGAAAATCATTTGTACCTGGTAGAACAAGGGCCAGCAAACTATGACCCACTGCCTTTTTTCTGTAAACAAAGTTGTATTAAAATACAGCCACATCTGTGAATTGGCAGAGTCATAAAAAGACCACATGATCCTAAAAGGTGAAAGTACTTATAATCTGGCCTTTTACAAAATTTTTTGACTCTGTAGATGGGATGTTAATCAAGCTAGAGTTTATTTACTAGATTTCAAATCTCTGTTCTGAAGGTAGTTATTGTGGCTTTAAACAAGCCACTCAGCCTTTCTAAATTGCCATATTCCCACCTATGTAACAGGGGAAATAGTAAAGTCATTGAGTTATGACCATTAAATGAAATAATGCATGAAAAGCCATTCATAAATCTTAATTCTTGTTTCTAGAATTACCTTAAAGTATCAGCAGGATCAGTTGTCCATTTAAGTCATATGCTTGTTCCAAAGAGTCATATACCGCAGCTTTAAATACATCTACTAGTACAGGAAGCTTTATCTTTAATCATTCTATTAGAAATTTCTTCTTTCCAGTAAGTTTAAATATGTCCCTTAGAGATCAATGCTATCAATCCTTATTCTGTATCCTAGAGATTACATAAAGCATCTCTTCCAAATACTAGGTTCTTCTAATATTTGAAAAGAGTTTATCTGAATTTTGTCTTATCAAGAATACACATCTTCAATTCTTTCCATTACTTCTAAGACACAGTTTGCATCCTTCTCCTGCTTTAGTAATTCCCTTTAGAAGGAAATAGAACACATTTATTCAGAACTATAAAAGACTTCAGGGTCACAGATTTAGGCCCTCGATCCTTAAATTCTCCATATTATTATAATCACATAAGCTTTGTGCTCCTCAGTCTTTTCCCCACCCTTCTTGCTCTGGGAGAGTTTATTTTTTTAGATTCTGGGATAAGTCTTCATATTTACCCATTTATATGCTTCATCTTATATATCTCCACCTTATGTAGATCTTCCCAGATCTTGACTAGAGTTTAAAATATTCACTGTCCATCATCAGCTTTTTATCACCCACCCATATTTCTGGTGTCTTTATCTAAATCATTAATAAACATCCCATCAATTTGAAATTAATATTGTAAATAGTCCTGAACTCAATTAAAGCAACTAGTATTATTTTAATAATTGTATTAGTTCTGCCTTGGACTTCTACTGACTTTAATCATCATTTGTTCAGTCTCATTTGAGATGTCATTTCTCTTAGTGAAAGAAGTTGGAAGTAAATGTTAATGAAAATATAAGCATTTCTCTTTCTCTCTTTCAATATTACATTTACAAACAAGTTATGTATCTGTATTACTCATGGATCTCCAGAAAAGCAAAGCCAACTGGACAGATTTGTTTTTAATAATTGACTCACGTGATTGCAGAAGCTAGTAAGTCCAAGGCTATCAAAGCGGGGACGCTGAGAAGAGTTACAGTTCAAGTTCAAAGATAGTCTGTTGTTTTATTAATACCTCCAACTGATTGAATGAGACCCACTCAACATTGTGGAGGGTAACCCACTGTACTCAAAAAAAAAAAAAATGCCTTCACAGAAAAATCTAGAATAAGGCAGGACATAACATCTGGGTACTATAACTCAAACAACTGACACATAAAAGTATCATGACAGTATCTCTATCTCTTTCAAATTCTTTCTTGCAATGAGTTTGTATGAAGCTTGGATTCATGTTTTGAGAACTTGTCCTTTTATAGTAGATAGTCTATTACATAAAGCTACAGTTAAGTTTGTGTCTGTCTGAGTGGATAAATGGTAGAATATAACCAACTATTTTTTTTCTATATTTAAGTTTAGCATCTAAACACATAAATTAAGTTTAGCATTTCCTCAGTCCATAGAATATTGATGATGGAGAGAAATTAGGCCAACTATGGTTTATGAAGTTAGCCTTGGAGTGGGCATTTGGTTCAACAGTTAAGTTGCCACTGTGATACCCATATCCCATATCAGGGTGCCTGGGATCAAGTCACCTCTTCACTTCCAATACAGCTTCCTACTAATGTACACCTGGAAGGTAACAGATTATGGCTCAAGAACTTGGGTCCTTTCTATCCATATGAGAGACCTGGATTGAGTTCCTGCATCCATGTTTTGACCTGGCCCAGCCCTTAGCTTTTGCAGGCAACTAGGGAGTGAACCAGCAATGGAAGATGCCTCTCCCTCTCTCTCCACATAAAATGAAGATAAATAAATAAAATTTTAAATAAAAATTAAAAAATAAAGTTAGCACTGCTGTAAGCTTAAGAGTCTAGATGTAATGAAGAATGAATTTGTTTTTGTTTCTAGTACTACTTTTATATTTAAAATTTAAAGCTGACATTTTAAACTCCAGAGTTATTTCCTCAAATGATTTCACAAATTATTTAAATGAATATCTATATAAATAATAAGTTATCTAAGCATTAAAGACTGATTCAACATAATATTTCTGATAAATTCTCTTAGAATAAAAAAAGGCAATGTGTTGTCTACAGAAATAAGACTTTACTGAACTAGTATTTTGCTTCTGGGCTTTAATGAATCTAAGTTTCTTATGTGGTTGCCTTTCCAGATTAGCCATTTATAATAAATAGAAATTACTGAGTTAGAAGCTTTTAAAGACTTTAAGATTTGTTTATTGAGCCGTGCTCTTAATTCCTTTTTTGGGTGTGTGTGGAATTCACTGATTTTTTTATACTTTCCTCTGTTTAGGTTTGGATGTGTGGAGGAGAAATGTTTGATGTTCCATGTTCTAGAGTTGGTCATATCTACAGGAAGTATGTACCTTACAAAGTTCCATCCGGGACCAGCCTGGCAAGAGTGAGTAACTGGGGATCAGAACAGGCTAGACTGGTTAGGGCTTTTTGTGGACAGAGTAATTGGCCTCACCTATGGTGTAATCTAAGCACAGCAGTACAGAAATGCTTTAGTTTATGGGGAGTTTCTACATCTTTCAGAGTTTTGCTTCCATTGCTTAACAAAGTATAACTATAATGCTAATTTTTTATATTAATTATTTCAAGACATTTCACATAGGAGACATCTTCAAAAAGTTCACAGAAAGTATGTAATATGAAATAACTGCATACATTTCAAAACTTTTGATCATCTTTCAATTCCATTTTTCCATAAACTTGTAGGAGTACCCTTGTATATTATGTTTTTTAAACTTTTATTTAATGAATATAGATTTCCAAAGTACAGCTTAGGGATTACATTGGCTCCCCCCCCCCATGACTTCCCTCCCACCAGCAACCCTCCCATTTCCTGCTCTCTCTCCCCTTCCATTCATATCAAGATTCATTTTCAATTTTCTATATATACAGAAGATCAGTTTAGTATACATTAAGTAAAGATTTCAACAGTTTGCACCCACATAGAAACACAAAGTGAAAAATACTGTTTGAGTACTCGTTATAGCATTAAATCTCAATGTACAGCACATTAAGGAAAGAGATCCTATCTTAGGAGTAAGTGCACAGTGACTCCTGTTGTTGACTTTACAAATTGACACTCCTGTTTATGGCATCAGTAATCTCCCTATGCTCCAGTCATGAGTTTCCAAGGCTATGGAAGCCTTTTGAGTTCACCGACTCTTATCTTGTTTAGACAAGGTCATATTCAAAGTGGAGGTTCTCTCCTCCCTTCAGAGAAAGGTACCTCCTTCTTTGAAGACCTGTTCTTTCCACTGGGATTTCACTCACAGAGATCTTTCATTTAGGGTGTTGTTGTTTGGTTTTTTTGTTTGTTTGTTTGTTTTTGTTTTTGTTTTTGCCAGAGTGTCTTGGCTTTCCATGCCTGAAATACTCTCTTGGGCTTTTCAGCCGGATCTGAATGCCTTTAGGGCTTATTCTGAGGCCAGAGTGCTGTTTAGGACATCCGCCATTCTATGAGTCTGCTGTGTATCTCGCTTCCCATGTTGTATCGCTCTCCCCTTTATTTATTCTATCGGTTAGTATTGGCAGGCACTAGGCTTGTTTATGTGATCCCTTTGACTCTTAGTCCTTTCATTATGATCAATTGTGAACAGAAATTGATCACTTGGAATAGTGAGATGGCATTGGTACATGCCACCTTGATGGGATTGAATTCGAATCCCCTGGTATGTTTCTGACTCTACCATTTGGGGCAAGTCAGCTTGAGCATGTCCCAAATTGTACATCTCTTCCCTCTCTTATTCCCATTCTTATATTTAACAGGGATCACATTTCAGTTAAATTTCAACACTTAAGAATAACTGTGTATTAATTACAGAACTAAACCAGTAGTATTAAGTAGAACAGACAAAAAAAATACTAATAGGGATAACGTATTAAGTTGTTCATTAACAGTCAGGGCTATGCTGATCAAGTCACCGTTTCTCATAGTGTCCATTTCACTTCAACAGGTTTCCTTTTTGGTGTTCAGTCAGTTGTCACCAATCAGGGAGAACATATGATATTTGTCCCTTTGGGACTGGCTTATTTCACTCAGCATGATGTGTTCCAGATTCCTCCATTTTGTTGCATATGACTGGATTTCATTGTTTCTTACTGCGGTATAGTATTCTAAAGAGTACATATCCATAATTTCTTTATCCAGTCTACCGTTGATAGGCATTTAGGTTGGTTCCATGTCTTAGCTATTGTGAATTGAGCTGCAGTAAACATTAGGGTGCAGACCACTTTTTTGTTTGCCAATTTAAATTCCATTGGGTAAATTCCAGGAAGTGGAATGGCTGGGTCGAACGGTAGGGTTATCTTCAGGTTTCTGAGGAATCTCCAAACTGACTTCCATAGTGGCTTGACCAGTTTGCATTCCCACCAACAGTGGGTTAGTGTCCCTTTTTCCCCACATCCTCGCCAGCATCTGTTGTTGGTAGATTTCTGAATGTGAGCCATTCTAACTGGGGTGAGGTGAAACCTCATTGTGGTTTTGATTTGCATTTCCCTGATTGCTAGTGATCTTGAACATTTTTTCATGTGTCTGTTGGCCATTTGGATTTCCTCTTCTGAAAAATGTCTATTGAGGTCCTTGGCCCATCTCTTAAGTGGGTTGTTTGTTTTGTTTTTGTAGAGTTTCTTGATCTCATTGTAGATTCTGGTTATTAACCCTTTATCTGTTGCATAGTTTGCAAATGTTTTTTCCCATTCTGTCGGTTGTCTCTTCACTCTCCTACCTGTTTCTTTTGCAGTACAGAAACTTCTCAATTTGATGCAATCCCAATAGTTGATTTTGGCTTTGACTGCCTGTGCCTCCCTTTGATTGCCTGTGCCAATATCTTGAAGGGTTTCTCCAATGTTCTCTAATAACTTGATGGTGTCGGGTCATAGATTTAGGTCTTTTAATCCATGTTGAGTGGATTTTTGTGTAAGGTGATAGGTAGGGTTCTTGCTTCATGATTCTGCACGTGGAAATCCAGTTTTCCCAGCACCATTTATTGAATAGACTGTCCTTGCTCCAGGAATTGGTTTTAGATCCTTGATCAAATATAAGTTGGCTGTAGATGTTTGGGTTGATTTCTGGTGTTTCAATTCTGTTCCATTGGTCTATCCATCTGTTTCTGTACCAGTACCATGCTGTTTTGATTACAACTGCCCTGTAGTATGTCCTGAAATCTGGTATTGTGATGCCTCCAGCTTTGTTTTTGTTGTACAAGATTGCTTTAGCTATTCGAGGTCTCTTGTGCCTCCATATGAATTTCAGCATCATTTTTTCTAGATCTGTGAAGAATGTCTTTGGTATCTTGATTGGGATTGCTTTGAATCTATAAATTGCTTTTGGAAGAATGGACATTTTGATGATATTGATTCTTCCAATCCATGAGCATGGAAGATTTTTCCATTTTTTGGTATCCTCTTCTATTTCTTTCTTTAAGGTTTTGTAATTCTCATCATAGAGATCTTTAACGTCCTTGGTTAAGTTTATTCCAAGGTATTTGATTGTTTTTGAAGCTATTGTGAATTGGATTGATCTTAGCAGTTCTTTCTCAGCTGTGGCATTGCTTGTGTATACAAAGGCTGTTGATTTTTGTGCATTGATTTTATATCCTGCCACTTTGCCAAACTCCTCTATGAGTTCCAATAGTCTCTTAGTAGAGTTCTTTGGATCCTCTAAGTAAAGAATCATATTGTCTGCAAAGAGGGATAGTTTGACTTCTTCCTTTTCAATTTGTATTCCTTTAATCTCTTTTGGCTTGTCTGATGGCTCTGGCTAAAACTTCCAGAACTATGT